GGCCCACGGCGGTGGAGGAGCGGGGAGCACGGCGCCCATCCGGACCGCCAGGCCGCTGGGGTGGGCTCCCCGCCATGGCCGCCCCGCCCTCACGGCCCTTTGCGTTCCAGAGCTGGAGAGCCCGGCCGAGAGGGTGCACCAGATCCAGCAGATCCTCGTCACCCTTCCCCGCGTGGTCCTCGTGGTCATGAGATACCTCTTCGCTTTCCTCAATCAGTGAGTCGCTGGGCGCGGGGCCTCGCCTCGACTCCCGGGGGCAAGAGGGACCCCGCGGCTCGGCTCAGGGCGCCCCCCCTCCTCCCACAGCCTCTCGCAGTACAGCGACGAGAACATGATGGACCCCTACAACCTGGCCATCTGCTTCGGGCCCACGCTCATGCACATCCCCGACGGACAGGACCCCGTGTCCTGCCAGGCCCACGTCAACGAAGTCATCAAGACCATCATCATCCACCACGAGGCCATCTTCCCCAGCCCCCGCGAGCTGGAGGGACCCGTGTATGAGAAATGCATGGCCGGAGGGGAGGAGTACTGGTAAGACTCGGTCCCCTCCCCTGGGGGCGGGTCGCCGCTGGCCGTCGTGGGGACGTGAGAGGCTCCCGTCTCCACTCTGAGCTCTGCAGCAGCCTCACGGAGAAAGCGGTGCCTCAGTCCAGGGTCTCGGGGCACGAGGACAGGTCGGCCTGGCTTAAGCCGGTCGGCAGCTGACTGGTTTATTCAGCTGCCAGGCTGGGGCGTGGCCAGCACAGCTGACCTGGAGCCCTCGGCAGCCTCAGGCTCAGCCCTGCAGCTCCTCCCTCGGCCCCGTTTTCTCTGCCTTGGCTCACGCCGCCGGCAGCCTCTCCCGTCCGGCCTCCGCGGCCCCCGCTCAGAGCGCTTCTCGCCACACCCCCAGCGTCCTTTTCAGCGCTCCCACACAAAGCCGAGACTGTCTCCCGGCCAGCGCGTGGGTCAAGAGCCCACTGGTTAGGACAGAGTGTCCACTGTGACTGGCCAGGAGGGGACATCTCTGCCAGTCGAGGACTGGACACGCCCACGGAGAGCGGCGGGCTGAGGGGAGACTCTTGAGTTCCCAGATGGCGGGAGGCCCTTGCTTTGAGAGGGCCCGCCGGTCCGCCGGGCCTCCTGCGCCCCGAGGGGGCTATTTTAGGCCCTTACCGCACCCAGGGCTGACCCCCCCCCCTTACCTGCCATGTGGCGAAGTAGGAACTTTCGAAAGAAACGCGTGGGGTCTGGACACTCCGAACCCTGACCGGCCCCGTCAGAAGGCCCCACTGTCTCCAGGCCCGGCCCCCGCGCACAGCCTTGCCTTCAGGCCTCGCGGGCGAGTCTGTCTGGCTGTGGAAGCCTCCCTGGACCTGGCATCGCCACGGTTCTGTGGGCATGTCTGGGCCAATGCTGCAGGGAGCACTGCAGCTCGAGTTTGCCGGGAAGGGTCCCAGGCAGGTCCAGCCGCAGCCCCGGGGGCAGGCGAGCCCAGGAGCGAGGTCTGGCCCTGTTCACAGCCGGGCGTCGACTCGCCGGCAGTGGGTCTCCTGGCCCGCAGCGCCCGCGCCGTGCCCGCTTCCCCTTTGTGGCCGCAGCCCACGCGGCCCGTGTCCCGGGGAGGGACCTCAGATGTCAGGGCCGCGGCAAAGAGCCAAGCCAGAGACCGGCCCCAGCCAGCGCCGCCCGAGGGAGAACACGCTCACGGTCGGCGTCGGCTGGAGGCTCCAAGTCAGAGGGGCCCTTGGGCGAGCCCCTACGACGGCCGCATTCGTTCATTTCACAAAGGGAAGGGGCGTCTGTCTGGCGCAGGCCCTGGCTGGGCGGGGGCGGGCGTGAGCCGAGCAGCGGCCGGCTGACCGGGCTCTGGTGCAGGAGGGACGCGGGCAGTTCTCCAACCGGAGCTCCTGAGTCTGTGCGGCCCGAGACTGGCTCGGACGCAGCTGACCCCTAGAGGCTGGACGACAGTTGCCGGGGAGGAGAGAGCAGAGCGCGTAGGCCAGGCGCACAGCGAAGTGGAACGCGAGGGTCCCTTCCAGCGGGGCGAGGGCTCTGGGGGGCGCCGGGGCTGCGGGAGCTGAGTGCGAAGGGTCTCTGTGCACAGCATCGTGCAGACTGGCTTCTGGGAGCTGGTGGACAGCTTTCCACAGTGAAGTCCACGTGCCTTTAAGTGGCACTGTGAGTGCCACCTCCTCCGAGAGGCCCTCCCTGACCACCCCCTGCAGTCTGCTCTGCTGCTCTGGTCTCTGCTCACTTGCCCCCGGGGACCTGGCAGCTTGCAGCGGTGGCCGGGGGCAGGCCTGGGCCCTCCCGCCTCCGGCACACCCTCCTTAGTCACACGGCGCCTGGCATGCACGGGCTCGCCCGGTGGCCAGGGGAAGCCTGCTGACTGGCCCCGTGACTGGCCCGTCTGGGCCCAGTCACTGCAAAGCTGCCCCGAGCCACCTGCTCCCTGTGAGGGTCACCCCCACCCTTGCTGGGAGACCGGCGAGCCAGCCTAGGTGGACATCTCAGTGCCCCCAAGTTTCCTCCTGCGCTGGCCTGTGGTCCTTCCGAGGACAGCGCCAGGGTTCTGCCTCTGCCCTCTGTCAGACTGGACGCCTAGGCAAGGCAGGCAGCCAGAAGGTGCCGGCGTGGGGAGCTGGGCAGCTTCTTCAGGCAGCTCCTGAGCGGGAGCTGGGGTGGTTTGCTGGAGGAAGCTCCCTGAGGAAGATGGGGTGCAGGGGCCTGGGCGGGTGTGGGTGAG